TTAATTTTGAATATTCCCTTTCAGGTGAGCAATGTGAGAGTTATGTAGAATACTACGAGAAGGTAACAGCGGAGAGATGAATCTTCCAGACAAGACAACCGACTCTGTGATCTCACAGTATTGCCAGACTTGTGTCTGTTGTTTTTATAACAATTGTTATATGTTGTATGATGACATATTTATATAACATGACTTGTAATATATTTTGTTATGAATAAAGGAATTTTACTTAAGAATTTATTTGCTTTAATATTAATATGGTATAGCACTTTTCATTCCTTAACTTGACACCAAATCAAGTAAATTAACATATTTTAGTTTAACAATATATATGAATATTTAATGAATAGAAAAGTTGTAATAAATGATGATAATTGTAAATAATTGAAATTTTTTGCTCCTTATCAAGTTTATGTATTACTTTCCATATCAGATTGAGATAAAACATTGATAAAATTAACATTTCCTCGGAATTAGCCAATTCTTATAAGAATTTCATAGTCAATTTGGTCTTTATTATCAGTCTAATCATTTTGCCCAAGCAAATCCATGTTTTCAAAGTAACCAAATAAATAAGGATCTGGTTAATAAAACAATCAAAGTACTGGAAACATTACTGTAATGTAAACATTTAATAGTTTAAACAAATCAGTATTTACACTTAGTAAGGTTTATAAATGCTTCTGAGTACAAAAAATATATTTGATTGGTGTTAGATGTTTACATGTGCACCACAGCTCTGATAGATTTACCAGTGTGCATCAAATGGAATGCCTCGTTGATTTCCTTCAGTGGAACATTGTGAGTAACAAACTCATCCAAAGGCAGCTTCTTGTTAACATATTCATCGACCAACTTTGGAACACTTTCACGGCTCTTGTATCCTCCGAAAGCAGTGCCCTTCCATGTGCGACCTGTCACCAACTGGAATGGACGGGTGCTGATCTCCTCACCTGCTGCAGCCACACCAATGATGACAGATACCCCCCAACCCTTGTGGCAAGCTTCCAAGGCTGCACGCATTGTGTTAACATTACCTATACATTCAAAAGTGTAGTCCAGACCTCCATCGGTCAAATCAACTAGAACTTGCTGAATTGGTTTGTCATAGTCCTTAGGGTTAACAAACTCATTCACTCCAAACTTCTTGGCCACTTCAAACTTGTCATTGTTAATATCTACACCGATAATGCGCTTAGCGCCGGCCGCCTTGCAGCCCAGAGCTACAGCCAATCCGACAGCACCCAAACCAAATATAGCACAATTTGTTCCAGGTTCCACTTTGGCAGTGTTTAATGCGGCTCCGTAGCCGGTCGGCACGCCACATCCTAGAAGACAGACTTTGTCCAACGCCGCTGCTTCGTTAACCTTACACAACGAAATTTCTAGAACAACCGTGTATTCACTGAAAGTGGAACATCCCATAAAATGATAAAGTTCCTTGCCCTTGCAGCGGAATCTTCTAGTACCATCGGGCATCACACCTTGGCCTTGTGTTACGCGAACTTTTTGGCAAAGATTGGTCTTAGGACTCATGCAAAATTTACAAGTGTTGCACTGGGGTACGTACAGCGGCACGACGTGGTCTCCGGGTTTGACTGACGTGACTCCTTCGCCGACGCTCTCCACGATGCCACCACCCTCATGACCGAGGACCACGGGGAATACGCCTTCGGGATCTTTACCTGACAGAGTGTAGGAATCGGTATGACAGACGCCCGTCGCTAATATCTTTACACGCACTTCGCCGGCTTTCGGAGGGTCCACTTCGATTTCTTCAATGGAAAGAGGTTTTCCAGCTTCCCATGCGACTGCGGCTTGACATTTAATAACTTTACCGGCTGTAGACATCTTGCTTAATCCGGGTACGACCAATTACCGCAAGCGAACAATACAAACTGAATATTAAAATTAAAAAGTACAGTACCTAGAGAGGTTGATAACTAAAATATGTAATTTCTATAGCGGCAATGGCGAACCTTGACACTGAGCTCCGAACTTTGATAATAGGAATAGTTTACGTGAAGTTATGTTAATATAGCGAAGTTGGTCAGTTTCAAATATCGCGCTTTATGTATGGTTTAAACGTTTTGATATGTAGGATACATATTGTGCAGTGATTTATCTCTATTAGTAATTAAAGACTAATAAGAGCATTTTGTAACTAATAAGTAATTAGAGATCACAACCTTTAACTAACTTTAACCGAATCTAACTTCATTCCAATCAACAGAAATTGCGCGCACTATACCGGCTTATTACGTCATAAAACGTATCAAGTGTCGACCTTGAATTTAAAATTTGAGTCGAGGAATTGAATTCACAAAACATTCCATCAAAGAGTATATAAAATACATTCCATTGTGATTTAGGTGTGACACATGCTTTTATCTAAACAAAATAAATATTTGTGTAGTGTAGTATACAAAAATATAGATGATATTGATATCTAGCTATCATAAGAAGTTGGTTAAATAAACAGTTTGATTTGTATCCTGATAAAACGAACCGCTTTTAATTCGTAAACTTGGTAACACTTTTAATTTGTCAGTGTCAAACGTGACGTTTGTTATGTTTGAGAAATTGGCTTTGAAACATAACCAAAATATTGTCGATTTTCGACAAAATTAGTAATATAATTAACACGTTTATACTTTCTGAACAATGGCAAAACTGCACAATTATTACGTTTTGTGTCCACTTATTGACCAGAAAAGTTTTTTAGGTGTAGCACATGATAAAGAAGGCTCCAGCGTTATTGTATCTCTTGGCCGGAATGTGGTTAATAAGTATCGGGTATGCGAATGTTTTAATTAAAATACTTAAATATTATTACATTGCTTAATAGCTGTACTCGGATCAATAAAGTGCCTTAAAAATAAGTTTTTTTATTATCGACATGTGCAACTTACAATGTGAGAGGTTATAATCATATTTTCTTTAGCTCTCAGATCAAAAGCAAGTCGGCGGTTGGACATCAAAGGACCACATAACTGCTCCGGTTATTTATGACATAGAACAAGATCACTATGTTGGAGTTTTCAATAACAATGCAATAAAAACATGGAAAGAAGACTCGGATAACTTGGACAAAATAAAGAAACAAAAAGTATGATATTAAAACATATTAAATAAGAAAGAAACTTCTAAACTATAATATTTGATAGTGAATTTATAATGACAAAATAACATAAAATGTACTGTAGAGACAAAATTGATCTTTTTAGTATAAAAACATATTTAAATATTGGTCTTAATTCTTCTGTTTTCAGTTTCCCATGAACATTTTGAAGCTCGTAAGAAGAGGAGATGAGTCACCACTAGTTTTATTTGCAAATGGCAACTGTGCAGCTCTTTCATTTGCATTGGATAATAGAAAGAGTATTGAAAGTAAAGCTTTGATAAAGGAAACAGATTCAATAGTTGATGTTTCTTATTACAAGCTAAATAATATACCACATATTTGTTATATTATTAAAAACAATAAGGATAACTATGAGATTCTAACTTGTCCCTTAAGAGAAGAATTAGCCGATATGGAGAAAACAAAGCTGCATAGGATGAAAGTGTCAAGAACTGAAGATGTGTACATAGTTGGTCATCTTATTGCTAAAGAAAAACTTGGAGTTTATATATTATGTAAGTATTTGAGACTATTTTTAATTTTGCTTCAATTATTATCTGTTATCTGTATGGATTATGGTAACTAACATTGTGATATGAGAATTTTGTATGTAATATAATGATTTGTTCATTTTCAGGGAGTGATGGTAAATTAACTGTTTACGACTTTGAGAAAAAGAACTGGAGAACAATTGGTTCAGTTCCATGGATATCTACATTCTCAAGTGTTTCTATTGCGTGGATGGGGAAAAATCATTTGATATTTTTTGGTAGCAATGTGGAACAGGATGGGGCCATTATTGTGGCATATAATATAGTGTTGGGCGTTGGTTCCTGCAAGTATCCAATGAAAATGTACACCGAAGGTGCTAAACTGTATTGTTTTGATAACCGTATAGTACTGGAAGCATCCAACCATATTGGAATGTTGCCATATGTAGTGGAAACCAAGAGAAATCTGTCCAGCCTACTGGGATCCCATGAAGTGATGAAGGATGAGTCTACAGAAATTGCAAACTGGGGTACACCTACCAGACCATTATTTCATAGCAGTGAAGATATTAAAGATTTAGTTAATTTAGGTCTAACAGAAAGAAGTATTTGTTCACAAATAATACCATTATTGATAGAAAAGAATGACCACTGCAGAATTATAAAAGTTTTAAATGATTTCAAAGATGTACCGGAATCAATTTTAGTTCTCTTACTCTCCTATGCTATTAAATTGGTAAATCCAAATAATATTGATGTTACAAATAATGAAGAATTTCTGAGAATATGTGAAGGCGATTTACAAAGTGAAGGAACAAAAGCTCATAATACTAAATTGAATTTCCTAAACTATGTGCTACGAATACCAGTGAGTGATGCCACACTTGTCCCTTATTTGAAGAATGGATTGACTCTTGACAATGCTTTATTCCTCATGAGCTATATATCCTATTTACTTGTGGATTCAGAAATGGAAATTCATATAGAATATGAGAGTAAACTGCTAGACTGGTGTACATTATTGATGGATGCATTTTACCAACAATACTTGATGACAAAAGACGAGAAAGTTACATTTGTTTTGGAAACAATGAAGAGAATTGTAGATAATCTTGTTGATCAGTTGATGGTAGTTGACAGTCTGTTGCCTAAATTACATCAAACTGTATGCGGGAAGCAGGCAAATGATGATGTAGATGATTTGTTATCATACACAATTGAACTGATGGAAATATAGTTGTTATTTTTAAACTATGTATTATTTCATTTTTGTATGTTAAGCTCTATTTTAATGAATTTTCATCAATACCTAAGTATGCAAATTTACAACCAACATTGTAAAAGTAACAAAAATATTTGTGGAATAGTGGAAAATATTTTAAGGAATAAGATACAAGTATTTAATCAATAGATTTTTTATTAGCAGCTCTAGCAAATTGCACCACCATAGGTTTCTCCTTAAGCATAAAACCATTTGTCTCAGTCAATGCAATTTCAGCTATCCTAACAGACGGGAAAGTGACAAAAGCTTGTCCTTTCATTCTGCCCTCTTGCATCACCCGAACATCAAAACCAATTTTTTTATCTTCAGGAAGATTTTCTATATAGCGTCTATAAATTCTTGTAACATCCTGCTCAGTGACTGTTTTAGCTAAATTTTTTATATACAACCTCATTGATGGCTGGCCGGGATGATAATTTTTAAAAACGGGTAATACTTTCATATCTCTATATGAAATTCTGTTTCGTACTAATTGACTTCGGCTTATTGTTGGTTGTTCTTGTTCTACCAGTGGTTGTTCCTCCTGTGTTTCCTGAAGTTCTCTCTCAAATTTGCCAAGTTCACCTATCACTTCTGGTTCTTCGGTCTGCTTTGTCAAGGCATCTTGTGGAACTATTACTGATATTTTCTTAGCTTCAAGAGCTGGTGTTACAGTTTCAAAAACTTCTTCCTGGTTTATAATTGGTTTCTTTGCTTTTGGTATAGTTGCTGCAGACAAAACAGCAGCTGGTCTCTTTCTTGTAACAGGCAAAGTATGTATTCTACGTCTTGGTAATTTTGAAACTATTTCTTTATTTTGTTCAGTCTCATCACTTGATATTTCTGACTCAGGTTCACTGGGCACCGCAGGTAGCTGTACAGTAGGGGGATCAGGAAAGTATTGTTTAAAAGTATCTTTAAAAAACAACAAAGCTTTTTCATTTTCAACAAATGGTGTATCAAGTGACATTTTGTTCATAAGATGTAGGGATTGTATATAAAATGGTTTATGTGTAAATAAACTATAGACAATATTTACTACGATCTTAGGATCTACATCAGGATATTTGTATTTAACATGTACTGGTGCAGGCTGGTAGAAATTCACGGAGGGGTTCCAAGCGTTGAGAAGTTTTAAAAATTCTTTTACATGTTTAGTGGTAATGGAAGTTATCTCTTCTTTATTTTTGTTTTGATTGACCGGTTCCTTTTCAAAAGAATATTCTACTATTAAACGTCTTTGCGCGATTTCAAGCTGATGTAATCTAAATAAAGATTCTTTTGCTTTTTCTATACTAGCGAACGACGCAAATATATAATTACGCTTTTTAGGGGTTTCCCAAACATGTAGGGCTCCAAAATGCATCAGAAGATGTTCCTTATCTTTAAAAGATAGTGTTTCAGGTAAATGTCGAATGATTAGCACTCTTGACATAGCTGCAATTAAATCAGCTTCCAGTTACTATGGTAAAAAAAATAACTTATAATAACTGACTGTTACAAGTTCATAACTAATAAATAAAAAACACACAGCAGCGCAAATCAAAACAAATTTGACATTTGATTTGACATTGATTTTTAATTTTTTCTTTAGTAAAGAGCACCCACACAAGAAGAACTTATTATAATTAAGAAGAATAGACTTCTTAAATTTAATCAGCACCCCTATTAAAGCTACATTTCAAGATTTACCTTGCGTAAACCATTAAATGTAACTTTAATACTAGGTGTATCTATAATTTTAGATATAACTTCTGGAACAGCAAGTCCATTTTTATTTCTAAGTTAATTTTTCGTACTCTTTGGCAATTTGGTTGATCTGGCAACACTACATGACAATGACAGTGATGTCAAACTGTCATTGCGACAATCGGCGTATTGTGTTGTTGGCAAAGTTAAATAAAACTTTTATATCTTTGTAAACTGAGTAAGAAAGAACTGATGTTACGATTGTAACATAAGGTAAAGAGAAAACAGCAAAAACTAGTCGCTATGACGGAACAACATCCAAAAAAGTCTGTTAAAATTGTTGTCTTAGGGGATATAGGTAGAAGTCCGCGAATGCAATACCATGCCTTATCATTGAGTGATAATGGTCTAAAGGTTAATATCATCGGTTACACGGACTCTTCTCCGCTTACAGAAGTACTTGAAAACCCAAATATAACTATAACTCAACTTCACAGCTGTAATTTTGATAAGGGTCCGAGATTTTTACAACTTATATTAAAAGCAGTTTGGCAGGCAATTAGTTTGTTTCTAACTCTTCTTATAACAGGAAGTTGTGACTACCTGCTTTGTCAGAATCCTCCAGCCGTCCCAACACTGCCAGTGTGCCGACTGTACTGCTTAGTTACAAGAACAAGATTTGTTATAGACTGGCATAATTATGGACATACCATCATGGCATTATCAATATCTCCGAGTCTTAAAATTTTACTAAAGATTTACACTTTTTTAGAAAAGTACTTTGGTCAGTCAGCACAATATAATCTTTGTGTCACATATGCTATGAAAGAAGATTTATTAGATAATTGGAATATAAAGTAAGTTTATTTTACAAAATTCATCCTTTAATTAATCATAGCTCCTGCATACTTGTGCCCTAATTGAAATTGATAGTGTAACTCCTGAATTATTTGTACGATATACTAATGTTATCTTAGAATATATTTGACTATTTAACTTTACATAATGTAATCATGTAAAATTCCAGCGCTACAGTACTTTATGACAGACCACCTCACATATTCCATCCAATAACTCTACAGGAAAAACATGATTGGTTTGTTAAATTTTGTCAAAAGTATCCAGAACACTTTACACAAAATGATGTCGGGAACTCTGGTGATTTAATGACTACACCTTTCACACAAATAATAGATAATGATATTAAACTAAGACAAGACAGGCCTGGATTACTGTTTAGTAGCACCAGCTGGACTCCGGATGAGGATTTTGGTATATTACTAGAAGCATTGCAAGGTAACACAAAATATATTTTTCACTAGCTTATGCTGCATGTGTTACTTTTTATTCTTAATACTTTTTTTAGTATGAAAATTAGTGCTTATTAATAACATATTAGTAAATAATAACATAAATATTATCCATGTATTAAACAAAAAAATTATATCTATAATTCATTATATCTTTCAGTATATGAAACAACATATGATTTAACTAAAAGTCTGCCAAAACTGATTTGTGTTATAACCGGCAAAGGGCCCATGAGACAGCATTACTTAGACTTGATAGCTTGTAAAAGTTGGCGACATGTGACTGTGTTCACTCCCTGGTTAGACGCCTGTGACTACCCCACTATGGTGGCCAGTGCCGATTTAGGGGTTTGCTTACACACCAGTTCCTCCGGCCTGGATCTACCTATGAAGGTTGTTGATATGTTTGGGGCTGGTTTACCAGTTTGTGCTGTTTCTTTTAGATGGTAAGTGTATAAAAATTAAGTCATAATAAGCATTGCACAATTTTCATATTTAAAATGATATCACTAAATAGTATATAGGACAATGACATTATCTTTATGTATAATATTTACAGCCTTGAAGAGTTGGTGCAACATGGTGTTAATGGTTACATATTCAAGACAAGTGATGAACTTTCAAAGCTCATTGTGGGCTGGTTTGAAGGTTTCCCCAGTAATGATGAGAAGAACAGGACGGCTCAAGAAATGAGAAGAGAACTCACCAAATTCCAAGAAACAAGATGGGAGGGAAATTGGAACTTAAGAGCAAAGAAATTTTTCGAATGATTGATTTATATGTTATAGTAAATTGTAATTAATTGTTAATTTAGAGGATAAAAAATACTATAGTATATGTAGGTATAAAAAGGACTACTTTTTTACCTTTATGTGTTTTGATAAATTTTTATGGTGATAATTGTTAAAAGAAATGAGAGATTGTTATTATTTTAATACTTAAGAGACAATAAATATACAAAAAATATGATTTTGTCTTATTAAACAAAGAATCTTCAGAAGTAAGCAAATAGTGCATCTAGGTTAAACAAATAAAAAGGAAATAAATCTTAAAATACTTATGTATTCAAAAAATATGATTTACAAACATACACATGTTTACACTTACACTAAGAGTCTTTCTATTTCTTGTTGGATACCCTGAATTTGTGGCTTCAACTGTGAGCCCTCATTAATTGTAATGGAGCATGCCACAATGGGACGAGAGACCCCACAAGCTCGACCCAGTGCCTGTTTGGACCTTACAAACACATATGGAACATTCTTGTCCTCACATAGTATAGGAATGTGTAGAACAATTTCCAGAGGTTCAGCGTCCGCCGCCATTATGACGAACTCTGAAAGCCCGCGGTTCAAAGTTTTCGTCGCTTCGTTCGCACCCTTACGCAGCTGCTTGTAGTTAGCCGCCTGTTGGACTAAATTCAAGATCTTGGCGGTGAGGGCTGCGTCAGCCAATGGGTAGGCTTTAGGATTGACTGCTGGTTCATTTTCGGCCTAGAACAAAACACCATGCCATCTTAATAATGCGAACCGCAAGTTGATTTATATGAATGAATTCCCACTGAATGATAGAAAATCGCTCGCACATTGCCACTAGAAGGATTTTGAGTGTATGATTTAAATTAAATTCACAGAAACACATGAATAACAAACAACAGCACGGTAAACATAACCTACAAATATACACATGGATGTGCAGATGCATAAAACATTCTCGGTAAGGTTATCATACATTTTACTTATGTTAATAATACTTGACTTTGTATTACACTTACCATTTTTCTCAAAAACTTTTAGTAAATATAGGAAATTAAGAATAACCTCTCAGCGATTTCTCGCGTCACTGAGGGATTGACTTCTAATTTAAAAGAAAAAGGTCTTCTTTAATATGGTAAGACTTGTCTTTCTGATAAATATCAGAAATACAATACTTTGAAATAAATTTAAATAATGCAAATCACCACGCCTTAACTTTAATTCAGACTCCCGCTCAAAAAGTAACAACTCAACTCGGCAGCTTAAACGTGAACTATTGAGAAAAAAAATGGCCCAGTGTTGCTATAAAAATTCGTAAATGGAAAAAGATAAATATTGTCTCTGCTTGATTCATTCGAGCAAGGTAGGCAAGGCAAGGCAAGGCTTTCGATTTCCTTTCTGATGTTTAAATATTTGGATAAAACGTAATAATAAATGAGCACTGTTCACTATTTTTATTTTATTAATAAGGTATACACATTACAATATTTAATTACATACTACAATTACGTTATTGTTGAAAAATTATGCTTACACAATTTGTGAACAATAAAGCATACAATTAATTAATCCCACAATTTGACCCATTAAGAATGGCGCTTGCCATAAAATTGTCAAACAAAACCTAACAAGACAGCCACTTTAGTTTCACTTATACCCATCAGGCCAGTTAAATTTATAGCACTATAAGCACTGATAACAATTATCACCACTGCACTTCATTCCTAAGACTAAGTTTTAAATTTTTTTTACACCATTGAAAAAGTTCTGAGTTGTATACAGTGTCTGTTGTTCAAATATTATAGCTATTTGTAAGCTTATACTGAAGCCAGTTTAAGATGGCTTCACATACTTATACTAGTTTTTCTTGTACATAGTCTGATTGTTTTGAGTATTCTGATTGGAGAGGAAAGCAAGGTGACCTTTCGGGCACTTGTTAGCATAATGGCCCTTTGTTCCGCACTTGAAACATGTGACTTCTTCCAATGGCTTGTGCATGAGACGGAGGCGATGAGCATTGGCATCATCATTTTCACTGACCGGCTTGACATAACCCAGGGATCTGTATCTCGCTTCCTCTTGTCTTTGGGCTGCTTCTCTTTTCTGAAAGATTAAATTATGCATTGTAATAAGTTTAAATTTTGATTTTTTGTTAGAAATTGATGCCATGGATTGGGTCAATACTTTCCGTTGCTAAGCCTTTAAGCTATTATCTTATAGATCATTGAGTAAAATTAACATTGTGAACAGGAATACAATGCAATTTAGGTATAATTTATTTAATTATGAGTTCAAAATTATTTACCTCTTGAGGAATTTTATTGCAAGATGATGCCTTATGCCCAACTTCAGAGCAGTAGTGGCAGACTGGCAGTCTCTTGGCATCTTTGGTCTGCTCAGGTGGTGCAGGCAGCTCAAACCTGGGATGCATGTATTTGCAATTTGGCCCATCTGGACAGAACCCCGACAAGTAATTTATGCACAGAACTCTACGGACATGCCTGTGTCTGCAGTGTGGACCATGTCGACAGAAGCCTCGGTCATACCTAAAAGGGTTTTAATATATTTTAAGTATGTTTGATTTCTCAGTTAACCTAATTCATAAGGCTAAACCTTACCATGGACAGTCTTTAATCTTGCTCTCAGGATCAATGTGTAAAAATGGACATTCCTTATTGTGGCATGCATTGAATCGGGCATAGAAGTAACATTCTGGCATCTTAGACATGTCATACTCGTGGAGGAATTCACATTGATCACCCTTCTTACAAAGACCTCTTAACCAATGCTTGCATACCACTGTGCGGTCGCCGCGAACGTGTCTGTACGGGCACTGAGGACCATTGTTGCAACCTCCAGGGTTACTGTAAAATTCGCATACAGCAGCTGTGGATTCTAAAATTGATAGTTAACATTTATGTCACAGTACAGGTTTTACATATCAACATATTATTAAAAATTCATATTAAATATACTGTAATATTATACATACTATCCATTCCTGGGAATGGTAAGGGTAAAGCTCCATATTGCTGTTCCAAAGCGTAATCTATATCGAACTTAATATGGTCAACGTTAGCAACAAGGACTTCCATTGTTAAAATGAAATATTTCTATTGTATTATAACAATAAGTTGAAATACAGTATTCAGTGAAGTAATAAAAAACAAATGCTACATTGAATTAAGCTTTTGACATTTTACGTTTTGACATTATTTTTAGAAGTAAAACAAAGAGTAGGTAATAGGTTTTGTTGTACGCATGTAGGCATTCAAGAATTGCGACTTGCTTTTTGGTACTTCCAAAGCAGGCAACACTTCCCAAGAACGAAAATTACCATAGAGGACCATTGTCTTCTGCATATTTTATATACTCTTTGGTCTTCTGTAGAAATGACAGTGACGGTTGATAGCCAATAAAAACATGAAATATTGATGTTTGGTGTTGGTTAATATTGTGATATTTGGATTTGGTTCATTATTTGTTTTCAGATTTATGAATTTTGGAATTAAAGTCCAAAAGAAAAATGTCTATCTCCGATTTAAAACATTCTTTAAGGAAGTTAGAGTTTCCAGCATGCGCAAAAGAAGCATTGTTAAAAATTGGTAAGCATTTTCCACTGAATGAAAAGTTTACACTTAAACATTAAAATTCTGGTCAGTTTAATGTAATATACTCTACCATTTTTATGTTTTCAGAACAACTATTGGTGGGAAGGGTTGCACCAACAAATAAGCAAATGGATGCGGCAATGGAAATCGTTTCAGAATTTGTGTTTTGTGAAGCAGACCGTCGCGGCGGCCGCCGAGGAGGAGGGCTTAACCCTCTCCAAGAATTGCAGCTTATCGACATTATTTGCGACTATCTGTCTGCTTGTAATAATGAGACTACTAAGAATACAATATTTCTATCTTTATTTGGAGGCATGGAAAATCAGCGGAAGTTAAAAATATTGTGTATTTTGGCTAGTATGGCTGTGTCTGCCTCTAGTACGCCCGTAAGTAACTCTAAAATAATAAAAGCTGAAAATGCTGTACTCTAAATACTGTATCGTACTGTACATCTGCTGAATATAGTTATATTTTTATAACCATAGTAATTTAGGGATATCAGAGGATGCTTTGTGCCTCACGTTTCACCACAACAGCAACCCTAAAGTTGTGAATGTTTAAAAAGACTTATATTTTGTGCTTGTTTTTGACCTTCTTATTTTTATCTTTGTCACCAGGTGCTCCTTGCAGTTGGTGTGTGGCTGCAACAGATGGGATGTTCGTCACCCCAGTCTTTGCAACTTGTAGAGAATGTAATTCGAGATCATTTCTATCTTAACACAACAAACCATGCAGCATTGCAGTCCTTGGCCGGCACTGCTCCACAATTTGTTTCAAACTTCATCACATCTGTCACAGAGCTGTACATGATAGATGGTCAGAATCCTGTAAAGTTGCCACCAAAGAATCTTCTTGAGGTCATTACATTGTGGGTTAGTATTATTTTATATAAACTCTTTAACAAAAATAGAGTGTGTTGTTACTTATTTGTGAAGTTGGGTGTAAATGTAAAATGTATTTATGTTTTCAGGTGTACACCACACCAACATTATGTACATCAGCCCAGTTGAATGCAGCAGCACTACCTAATGGTGCAATACCTATGGCAGCTGTAACACCGTTTGCAGGACTTGTAAGATGGTGTTCACTCGCACCACTGTATATTGATCGAGGTAAGACAAAACTATTACATTAAATTTCATATACTTATATTTATCTAACATTGTTGTTGAATCATTGATATATTTATCTTTTATAAAACACAGATGCTGAAATGGTAGAAGTCCAAGTGAAAAAAATAAAACTTGAAGGTGAGAGGACACTGAAATCTACCACAAAGGCACACACAGAATGGGAACTGTATATGCAGCTGCAGCTGGGAGTGTTGCAAAGCATGCGTGCGTGGCGGCGTCGCGGACCGCCCGCCGCCCTCAATGCACAGCGTATCGCCGCCTTTACACACCCAATCAGAGAGTACACACAGCGACTCAAAGATCGGGGTTGTGATATAACCCAGGATGATAACTTGCAAGTAAGTCAAACATTATATCAACATATAAATTGTCATGTTTATTGAATTTATGAATTCATAGAGTTAATATTGCAAGTCTTATGCCCGAATACTGAAACGTCACTCAAATATGTAACGGCGTCTTAAAAGATAAGACCACGCTTAAACTCCAATATGGAATTTTCAAACGTCAGTTAAAGGCGCATCTCAATTTTGAGGCTACTCAAGTAAGACGATGCTTACAGGCCACTCAAACCAAATTTCGTATTCTCAATCGTCACTCAGTGTCATTTTTCTGTCAAATGAACTGTCATGTCGACTTAAGTTTGCGAAAAATTTAAGAGCGGTCGTGAGGCATCTCAAATCTCTCTCAAATCACAAATCTCAAAAACCTTACGAGGACCCATGTCTGTATCGTCATTATCATCGCTTTCGGACCATGAAAGGCCTAGTGTGTGTCGGCGAAACCCAACAAATCCTCGATTATTTTGAAAAGTATACGGATGCGGAGTATCGCGCAAGGTTTCGCTTGTCTAAAGAAACAGTACTGTATTTGGACACCGTCTATGAACCACCACCACCATCGTAAAACCAGAAACACAGTTGAACGGCTTTTTGGCGTTCTAAAACGAAGGTACATTCAAGTGGGGATGGGTTTAAACAAAAATATTCCTGCTGGCGTCATATCATGTGCAGTATTGCACTTTTACAGGACGATTCACTGTTAGAGGAGGACATTATGAACATGGAAGAGTTTACAGATCCACCTGTAGACAATGAGTATAATGAAAATTTCATTGTTAGAATAACCTTAATAATACACATTTCTCTTTTTCAACTTGCTTTTATTTTTAAAAACATACAATCTTTATTATTAACAGTGGCAGGTTTATTTTATCTTAATTTAAGTAATTGCATTTCTAGCTTATGTTTATTTATCATATGTTTATATTCTAAATCAGCATTTCTTAGCTAGGCTCTAAAATAGACTTGCTAGAGGTCATCTCCATGCCTTTTTTGAATGGTTTTTTTTTTGCTTTTACCTTTCCTGGAAAAGTTTTAGCAATAAATATATCTATCAATGTAATAAAAACTTATTGAATATCTATGTTCAAAATATTTATCTTGTAAGCAATATAAAATTCTCTCTTAACCCTTAAATGCATATTTTTTTTTAAAATGCCATAAATTGAGAGAGGTGGAAAATTTAACATAGATTATGGGAAAAATGAAGAAATAAAACTTTTTCTTTTCTAAAAAGTATATTTTATAAAAAACTTACTGATGTGAATCTACATCAATATGCATAACGGTTACTATTAAAAATTTTAAACCTATTCTGCTGAACGATGGTCTACTAGTTAGGCTTATTGCAGTGTATAAAAATCTCTGAAACAATTATTTTACCGGCATTGCGCTCCTTACAGGATTGTGCCCAATCTTCGAATGCCAGTATGAGCAAACACTAGGAAAATGCTCCACTGACATAAATAAAAGAATTCCAAAGATTTTTTTAACTCCCCAACAGTAATACTAAAATATATTAAAGGGTTTTTTTTGCACTGCATATAAGTTAATTTCATCAACAATATTTTTAAGAAACTCTGGTGTAAAGTAATGCAAAAAAACATTTATATGGTGTATCATGTTCAGTTATAGCAGAGTCTGTTGTACTTGGTTGGCGAATTATTTTTGATTCATCATACAATATCATACAAACTGTCTTTTTTCCAAACAAGTTTCCTTTAATCAAACTACAAAATATTCATGACCTTCTTGCATTGATAATGAAGAAATAATTTTACTCAATGAGTCAGGAAAATCTTGAACCAGTGGTGGATCGCTATAGGTAGGATCTTCATGATCCTCTGCATCCTCGTCTTCTTTCTCTTGAATTATCTCTCTTGCATAAGCTAAAAAGGTTTCGTCATCTTCACTTTCATCTTCCAAACCATCTTCAGAAACATTTCCGTCTTCTAAAACCGCCAAAAGTTGTTTTATGTCTCAATTCTATGTGCCAATTTTCCGAAAATTCTGAAAGAATAATAATAACAATTCATGTAAATAAATTACGTATCTATAACCAAAGTCAAAAACAAAAATATATCCACATGAAAAGTATTTCTTGCCGATTTTGCATACTGACGTATTTCTACATCACAAGTATAAAGTCAATACTTACAAAAACTGTTATTGAATTCACCAAAAAACCCATATACTGTGTTCTGCTTACCTGTATTTTCTCGTAAATCACAATATCAAAATAAACAATAATGTCCGGTGCATTCCATTCTACAAAAATACGGTCAAAATTATTTATTTTTTGTTAAAAAAAAATTAAAACAGATATGATATTCTTTTATTAAAATCTTCTTTGCTTTAAATAAAAAAAATACGAAATACTCATAGCATGCAGTATTTTTTGAATATTCTTTGATATTTGGGAATAAACTCATCTTACAACTAACACATTGTCTAACCCTTGCTGCGTGAACCGGATACAAAAAGTTAATTTTAAGAAAATGTAATTGAGAACAAATATTTTCTACATACTCTTTGACACAGAACAGAGGTTGTTGCCATGACGTAAAAATGTTACGTCTACTTACGGAATCACGCGCTTAGATGTCTTGATTTGCGTTTGTGAATTCCACTTAAGTTTTGACGTCTCTTAAATTATAAGCACTGCTTACGAAAGTAGATATTTGAGTGACGTTTCAGAATTCGGGCATTAGTATTTTATTGTTGTCAAACTCTTTGCAGGTAAGCCTTGACCGGATTGGCCAGGCGGTTCAAGTGGCATTGGCAAGCGGTTGTGTTTATGGAAACATTAACCACCTCTTAGCAGCACTGGATTCTTTACCAGAGAATAGGTTACTGAAAATTGTTGTAAAGGCACATCAACAGGCTATCTGACAGGGGCTATATGGAAAGGATCAAGGACCAGCTTTACACAATCATATATTATAAAATCCATAGAGTAAATTCTTGTGCTGTTAGAGTATGTAAACTATGAACTGTAAAAATGTTTTTCAAGTGCGGATGAAGAATTAAGGCAGTAATTAATAATGTCTCAGTAAGTTTAAGAGATAACAATACTATTTTGTAAAAAAAATCAAAACTCATCTTCAAAGAAATGCTTAAAAAATTTATTTTATGTACAATATGTGTATCTATTTTTACTATTACTAATGTATAGCTAATATTTAAATAAATAACATATTAAGATATAGTAAAGTAGGATATGAATAAGTTTGTGTTTTGTTATATTTTGTAAGATATATATATATATATATATTAATTAAAGAAGTTGATGAATGTTTTCCAAATTGCTGTATGAAATGCAAAATGGTGTTTATTTAAGACCACTTTTGTAAAACACGTTTTGAATGAAATAATGATTAGTAATTAATTATTTTATTAAAAAGGTTTAAATCTTCTACTCTGTTTAATTTGTGCAATTTTTCTTTTATCCTCTTCAAACTTTTGCCTTAATGCAACAATATGCTTCATTTTAGATTCTCTTATTTGGAAAGTGTAGAAATTTTTCAGTTCTTTCCTCTTTTTATTCTTTTCTTCTTTAGCCATAATTTTGTTTTCAACTTTATCGGAGCGGGCAAAGCTTTGCACTTTCCCTTGTTTTGTCACAGTAACCCAACCTTCATCATCTTCCTGCTCCAATTGTTTTTCCTTTTCTTCAGCACTCTTTGCATCCGCATCATATGATTTCATAAACTCTTCTATATTTTCTTTCAGGTTTTTAGGTAACAGTATTGAGTTATTGTGTTCTTGTATCCATTTATCCATACCAAGTTTTACTTCATTGCTAGTTTCGTACATGGGCTTTAATTTTGTCAGTTTTAGGGCTTTGTCAAGTTGTGCAACTTTTTTAAATACTATATAGGCTATTCTAAACCTTGGATGCAATGTTTCTGGTAAAAATGTTTTGGTAGGTTTTTCTTCCGTTTCATTGGGTTTATTACAAAAGCGCACGGAATGCACCGTGCCAGCTTCGTGAAAGGCGTTTGTGAGCCCTTTTTCATCAGCATACGGTGGCAAGTTGACAACGAAAAGAGTTCGACCTGATGGTTTCTCCGGACTCTGTTCTCTTACAGAATGTTCTTTAAAATAAATGATATGCGGGGACACCGACTCCTCAGTGAGTTTAAGCTCTAAAGCTGAAAACAAAGTTGTTGAGTTAGAAATAGAGCAGACAATGCAGCGATATGTTTTAAATTAATTAATTACCTTTAAAATCATGGTTCCTTTTATTGGCTTTCATTGTCAATAAGTGTCCTTTTTAAAGTTGTAAAGTACGGAAATAATTTGAAACAGTTTTATTTAAAGAAGTCACCATTAGTGTAGTATTTGTTTACAACTTGCACGCAATTATAAAAGTTAGGTTATTTTTATATCTCAAATTGTCCCAAATTATGACAAATCATAGACTCTTTTCTTTTTTTTAATTTTATGACCTGGTAGCATAGACCGTGGGGACTTCTTAACAAACTATTAAAACATTTAATTTTTCTCTTTTATCAAATAAGTTAATCAAAAACTAAACCGAACGGAATTTTTTCCTGTCGTAAATAACAATAACTTTACAGAAGTAGCAAGGTGTTAAGGAATTTAATGTTCTTCACATTATAATAACAAAGCGCTTAGTCTTTGTGTTGTGACATTGATATCAATCAATTGACAGATTTCTTACAGAGTCTATGAAACTTGTATTTTCTTGTCTGTTGGCATAGGAAGTTGGAGTAGAATCGTTTGTCTACATTAAGTTTTTACAGTGTTTTGGCGTTATTTTACGGCCATGTGTGGTTTTATTTATACATTGAACAAAATTCCTAGTGATGCTATCCACTTCTGTAAATAATAAAGTTAAAAATCCAAAGGGATCGGAGAGTTCCGACGGTTTAGATAGAAATGAAATCGGTCAAGAAAACACAACGGATGATAAGGTCAGAGGTTATGTTGGTTCGTACGATTCTCCGTCTTTTGGCGGACCGCACAGAGATGGTAGATTTCGGAGCCGAGGGCGTATCACTGAATTTAGACATTCACGAGGGAGCGGGCGAGGTTCCGGTCGGGGCCGCGGTGACTTCCCGCCAAGGTCTGAACATGCTCACGATGAGAATTCCTGTAAATATCACGAACCGTTAGGACCATCGAATAATGACGCCTGGTCCCAAGGAAATAGTAATAAATTTTATGATAGATCAGAGCTTGTCGTCAATCTACCTGAAGATCCACGTATATCAAAGCTTTTGCGTCGCTTGTGTGCAGAAGTCGATGTTGAAAAGTCTTTGGTTATATGTAGTAAACTGCAGGATGCGGTCATGCTTCCCGAAAATGCAAGATATATACGAAGATCTTATGATATCCTAGTGGAATCATTGTTGGATGTTCTGTTTGATGCTCCAAGTCCGGAGACAAAGGAGAAGGCTGCAGTTGTTTTGGGAAGGATCGGTTATGTTATGGGACATGATTTTAAGAAACATCTGGATTGGATTTTGGTGACATTCTCTGAGCACAACACATCTATTAAACATTATTTGACTCTCTCGTTTGTTGAAACATTTCAGCTAGATTTTCAAACACCTAATCTATCTGATTTTGCAGAAATGACTCTAGATCGCTTGCAGGAGATCATAGAAGGTACCGACTCTGCTGATGTGTTTATGGCTGCAATCAATGCCATGATTGTTATGTCAAATTTATATCCTGAACATTTTGCAAATCATTTTGTAGACACAGTAGACATTCTTGTCGGGTGGCATGTTGACAATGCACAGCCTAAAAAAATTAAGGAATTTGCCCTTCAGTCTTTATTCAAACTGAGCCGCCATTGGCAAGCAGATGTTGGATTTTCGGTAAATCTTCTAAACCAATTTATAGAAGATATGGTGGCCTACACAAATGAACTTGAGTCCAATAACCATGAGTCTGAATCTGATTCTCATGAAGACTGTATGCAGAAAATAGCATCATTTCTGAATGTGTTCAACACTGTTGTGAAAAGCTTGGGCACCCTGCTTAGTCCTACAGTTTCTCAAACTGTCTCTTGGTCATTCCTCACCGAAGCTATGACAAAAATTATTCAAGTATTGACTGAAGTGCTAAGTGATGATGTTGAGCCAGATTTAATAATGGCAGGTAATGAAAGTATAACATTGCTCCTGAAATATTTGCAGACAAAAGCAACTTCTTGCTCATCAGCACTATTTTCACTAATAACCGTGGAGTTGACAAAATATCTATTGATTGACACAGATGTCTGCCTCAGCATTATAAGTCTTATTTCTATAACTATTAAAGAGATAGCAGCAAATCTACCACTAGAGTTCATCACGCAAATTATTGGCCCTCAGTCTTTACTTCGGCCCTTGAGGTTTACGGATAACAGCAAAATCCTCACAAATGTTATGTTGGTGTACAGTAATTTCTTAAATTTGAAAAATATCCCCTTATTACAAGAAACATATAAATTCGTCTTGATGGATATACAAAATGCCTTCTCTGTTATTATACCTGGCATAATGATTATCCAGGTTGAATACATAGAAGAACTTTCCACGGAAGATGCCGAAAAAAACATATTGTTCTATTTACAATGTCTGTCTGACCTAGCAAATGCAAGCAACTCCATCATTGGTATGTGGGCATTGAAACCAAGCATTCTAGAACTTTTGGCAATCAAGATGTGTCCCCATGATGAAAATTTCATAAAGCAAAAGCCTGCTTTGCAATATGCTATATTATATTTACTTTATTCTCATTGCAAAAAGAATAATCATTTTATCGCGTCAAGTGACTTGGTCACTAATACTCAACAGAGAGCAAGTGATATTTATGGTCTATCAAATCTAAATATTGGAGATGTTTCAAGTGTGAGTCCAACCTCAGGCCATTTAGCTGTTATATTGAACACATTGAGCATTGTTCTGGAAGAAGATGTACCACAAGAAACATTGTTATTGGTATTAACTTGGATATCAGATATTTTCTGTCAGCTTGATAAATATTTGCCAATTGTAAGCTTGTCAAAAGGTTTCTTGGTTTTAACAACAAACATGCTAATGCATGCCCACAATTTCAATGAAAATGTTACTCTCATTGTATTGCAGAACTCTCAGCAATTACTAAAAAATAAAGGTTTGGTGTGGAATGCTATGTTGCTGAAGAAAATGGCTGTAATATGCATGTTACATATAGATAGTCTGAATAAATCAGTGTCAAGTGTGTGCAAAGAGGTGCTCTTTCAACTCCCTTGGGATATTGTCCAACAAGAACTTGACAGGCAAATGGTCAAAGTTTTTACATCTAGAAAGGTCAGCCTGACAGTGCTCAATAGTGACACAAAGCTCAATGCTTTAAAAGAGTATCTGATGAGAGGATCATTTACAACATTATCTAACATTCATTTCAAATCCATAATGAATTGTTTATTACAGTTATCAATCACTGACAAAAACTTGTTGATCAATGCCTTTTTAGTGTCATGGCCAATACAAGGACAAGACTTAGATGAGAAAAATTTACTTTTCTTTCGCGAATGTGCAACATGTTTCTCTTCAATTTGTGTGAGCTGGGCACTTTCTGAATTGGCACAAACTTGTATCACACTGAAATTGAGAACTGCTTTGGGAAAACCACAGGATACTTTTACGAAGATTGAAGGTGCTTTAAAAGCAATAGCCAGAGACATATCTTCAACTGAAACTAAGTATGTAGCTGATGATGAACATAAGTTGCTCGACGTTGTAGTTGCCGAGCAGGTCCGAACACATTGGTTTATTGAGTTTATGACGTTCTTGGAAAAATACATTTATAATGCAGCTGAAGGCACTGCCACAGTCCTGCCCGTTGTCGGAAAACCTGTAAGAACATTTTTTCATACTAACTGGCCAACCTGTCGTGAATGGCAAAACAGAGTACGTCCTGCCACATTAGCTGTTAGCTTACATTCAGGCCATTTCGGCGCTGTTATTTATCACGCATCTCTCATCCTCCAAGCTGCACTTTCCAATACGAACATCGATATTGAAGCTATAGCAATTAGTATTGCGCGTGCAATCATTAAAATTCAAGAGCCAGAAGTTTTACATGGTTTATACATATGGCTGAAACAAAATTTCAACAAGAAACTACCCTGGTTAAAGGGGGCAGCTGAACAAGCCAATTCCCGCTATGAAGCAGCAATCGAATTTTACAAGAAGCTAATTGCCGAAAGAGGTAACACTGACACTGATTCTAACACAGTTCTCCTAGATGCAAAAGGAACTAAATTTGTTGAAGAGCAAATGATAGATTCTTTTAAAAACATACAAAGTTGGCAAGAAATACAAACATTAACGATTTATAGCGATGAAAATAAATCAGATTCCTATTGGGAGTGCTCCTCTGCGTTAAGCATGTTTGAAGATGGCGAAGAAATCACTGATCAATTGTCCGACTGGGATATTTTGCGACCGGAAAGTACAGAATTGCCAAAAAATACTTGCTCTTATCAAGGCCTATTAAACAAGATCGAATCCACTTTATTGTACACGGCAATAAATTATTATTATAATGATTACGATGATACATTCGATGACATCCTTCTAAATTGTAAGACGTTGCTCAATGCAAGCGCAGAAGAATTTGCTAGGACGAACGCTGTACACCTTTTAAAAGAAATTGCTGTACTGCAACTAGCGAATCATGGATTGACAAGTGTGATAAAGAACGGAAAAGCAATATTAAATCCATTTAAACCGTCTGTTGTTAAAGATCATAAATATGGTACGCAGTTGAAGAATTTGAGCAGGATTTTGTGGTGGAATCAATACTTCACGAAATTAAATATGACCGAGGAAAATATATTTTATACAGAGTGTCTAAGACTCGATGTCATAAAGAGTGCAAGAAAAAATGCTAACTTGCTCATGGCTAAAAGAGAACTCCTCAAACATTTCAAACAAAACGCTGCATTTCAAATGTGTGTACATAATGTCGATACTCTGGATGACATAAGCGAGTTACTTTTGATGTCCAGTAATACATATGATTTAGACATTTGGACATTGAATAACGCAACTGCTTTGGCGGAACTTTGCAAAGTTACATATGCAAAAGAAGATACACGAGTACGCGCTATCAATTTGTGTGCGAATATTGCCCTTGGCTTTTCGCAGCGACTTGCTATGGGCGAACAAAGCTACGAACTAAGAGAAAAAGGAACGAGACTACTGTTAACGCTTTCAAAATGGGTACAAAGCGAAAACGACGAAGTAATAGATAATGATTCACCTTTAATGAAACTAGTATCAGCTTTACCTGAAATCGGCCTTGTGGATAATAATATTTCTGAAAATGTTATTCCGCTTTCGGACTCTGCTGTGGGCAAATTGTTGCAGTTTGGCGTTAATCAATGCCCGGGTCTTGCGAAAGCTTGGGCGAGTTTTGCCTCATGGTGTTTTAGATGGGGACGTAAGATGGTGGAATTCAGCTCCAAAACGAGGGAGCAGCTCACTGATAACGATAAAATTCAAATAGAGGGAGTTATGATCGGATGCTCTCCGCAGGATTTCGAGGCTGTGTGCGAAATTTTATCGAAAACAAAAGCAACTTGCGACGATGAAGACATCGACTGGAATGAAATAAATACTTCAGAAATGATCGAGAATCACTTACGAACTGTACCCTCGTTAAACAACGCTTTCCCAGAACATTTGGCGTTGCTCGTCGATATATGGCGTCAGGCGCAAAAAAGAGTATTTTCATACTTTGAACTCTCTGCTGATGCTTATTTTAAATTTTTACAACTTATCTGTGCATCAGATTACATCAATCACAGCGGTGAAAACTCAGTAGTAAACGCTACATTGCGATTGTTAAGATTAATTGTTAAACATGCTATGGAGTTACAAACAGTTCTCGAGTCCGGATTGGCGAATACTCCCACACAACCTTGGAAGGTGATTATTCCTCAACTATTTTCTAGGCTTAACCATCCTGAAACGTACGTGAGAAAATGTGTTTCCGATTTACTATGCCGGTTGGCAGAAGATACTCCTCATTTAATTACATTCCCGGCCGTCGTGGGCGCAGTTGAAAACGAACAGAACAGTTTGACGGAATTAAGTGTACCCCGGTCACTTTTATCTAACGAAGATGTTGAAAGCGATGAAGATAATCTCGACTTGGAAGACAATGGAAGTGACAAAACAACAAATAATGAATTAAATTCTTGTTTCCTCGACATGGTGGAAACATTAGCCAAACAAGCGCCGAAGACTATTCTACAAGTAAAATTGTTAGTGAAGGAATTGCAAAGGATAAATCTACTGTGGGATGAATTGTGTCTCGGGACATTAGTCCAGCATCATTCTGAATTTAACAAGCGATTGACTCAATTGGAAGCCGAAATTGCCAGAGTTAAAAATAACGTTAATTTATCTGCGGAGGAGAAAGAAAAGTTGATCAAAGAGAAACATCGAATTATTTTCGAACCTATCGTATTTGTTTTAGAACAGCTGAACCAAGTTACATCGGCTAAACCCGAAACACCCCATGAGATAGCATTCCAAGCTAAATTTCAAAGCCTTATAACGGATGTTATTGATAAAATGAAAAATCCACCGAATCCCGATAAACCGCAAGAATCATGGGCGCCTTTAAAGCAGTTACAGATAAAATTGCAACAAAAAGTCAACAAGCGCACATCGTATATTTTAAAAATGTCCGATATTAGTCCCGTTTTGGCTGATATGAAAAATACTGTCATTACAATGCCAGGCTTGCATACAAATCAAAGAACCGTTAGGGTAACGATAAAATCCGTGGAAAACAATGTCGCTATCTTACCTACGAAAACCAGACCTAAGAAATTAATCTTTTACGGATCGGACGGTAAAGCGCACACGTATCTCTTCAAGGGGCTAGAAGATTTGCATTTGGACGAAAGAATTATGCAATTGTTATCGATAACGAATACTATGCTGGCGCGCGACTCCGAGAACAACGACAATCAGACATATAGAGCCCGTCACTACTCCGTCATACCTCTAGGGCCGCGGTCCGGCTTGATCAGCTGGGTGGACAACGTCACGCCGCTCTTTGCACTGTACAAGCGGTGGCAAAACAGAGAAGCGGCGATCATTTCCGCCAAAACCAACAAGACTGTGAACGTTTTACGTCCGTCGGAACTGTTCTACAACAAATTGAACCCTCTGCTTAAAGAGGCGGGCATATCGACTGAGAGCAGGAAGGAGTGGCCCGTGTCAATCTTGAAGCAAGTGCTGCAGGAGCTGACAGAGGAGACGCCGCGCGACCTGCTGCGCCGCGAGCTGTGGTGCGCCAGCGTCACACCCGACCACTGGTGGCAGACAACGCGCCGCTACAGCTACTCGCTAGCCGTGATGAGCATCATAGGCTACGTGATCGGGCTCGGCGACAGACATCTGGACAACGTACTTGTGGACCTAACGTCCGGCGAGGTGGTGCACATCGACTACAACGTGTGCTTCGAGAAGGGCAAGACGCTGCGTGTGCCGGAGAAGGTGCCGTTCCGCATGACACCCAACCTGGTGGCGGCGCTCGGGGTGACCGGCGTGGAGGTGAGTTGTTAAGCCTTTCTTTTGTTGTAATAAGTCTCTTAGCTATACTACAAACTCTTTATAAGTCAATTACTCTTAGTGTGACAGTTAATACAGTTGAACTTATATTTCTATTATCTTTAACTATTTGCGGTGGCACTTTTACCAAGATCTTTTGTTTATTAGCGCATTAAAGTTTTTAATTTTCTTTAAGCTCTACAATTCTCAATCGTGTAAATGACGTCTTAATTCTGACACTTACATATTCAATGTTGATGTGTTCACATCATATTTTATTGACACCGTGTTTTATTGACTGTTTCAATGCGCCTTGTTTAAAAACAGTTTCCTCGAAGTGTGTTGAGCGCGTTGTGCGAAGTAGTTAATTTGAAGGAAGATTTCTACTAAAGCCCCTCTTTATCAAGTAATCCAAGTATTTGGCGTTGTAGATTTTTATAAGCGTTACTCACTTAACTTAAGGCGACCCGCCGCGGTTCCCTCATTTTAAGAAAAGAGTTTTGTATGAATTTTCGTCAGAGTCTGACACACTTGTGCAAAGACAGATTGATTTCTCCTTATAAAAACAATGATAATTATATAGTGTTGTAGATGTATTTCGACAGTGAAGATTGATGATTATATCTTGTTTAGATTGACACAATTAGATTAGAGGTATAGGACAGGTATATGTATAGGGATGTTGTGAGTAATTATGATACACATAGAATAATTTAGATTTATCATATCTACCAATATTACAATTCATATCTTAAAAATATTTTTGTGAGTTTGTACTGTACTGTATATAAACTTAACTTCATATTCGTATTGAAAAAAAAAATATTTTACACAAGGTCACATACCAATTTTATATAGAATAATCTCAACATTTTATCTAAAATTGACTACATACAAATAGGTTTTTAGAAAACAGCGCCATCTATGTTTTGAAACTTACGTATTTGTATGCTTACATTACTTCTACTAAGCGTTGATAGAGGGCGACATTGTTCTTCTGAAATATTTTTTATTTGTGATCAAATAAATAAATGCTAAATATTTAATGTTATACGGATAACATCTTTATTATAATAAATGTAATTTCATCATCGCGGGGAACTTATTAAAATATCTCAATAAAAATTCAACAATAAAGCTTTCATAAACTTGAGCGTAGACTTGAACAGGTAGGTACCGGATGCGAGTGCGAAGTGCGGTACCTACACCCGCTAACAACTTTAAAATCTAAAAGCGTTTTGCGTTTCCCACTGAACGTTCGATAAACGTTTGTCGCCCGCACACACTACACCGCGTCAGGAGGTCGGTCAGCCGGTCGGTGCACCGGCGTCGGCCCGTCGGGTGCGTACGAGGGGTTGGTGTCGCCCCCGTCCGAGTCCACGTACCCCACGTTTTCTATGATGCGGCATCGTGCCGTGTCCGGCTCGTGCTCGGCGTACAGTAGCCGCGCCGGGGTTCCGCCGAGGCCGCCCAGCGCCGCGGGGGCGCTGGACCTCGTTATAGAACCCTCTCGGAGCGCCACGGAATATCTCTTCCTCTCTGGAGCGGGCGAACCCCGGTATTCGGAGGTGTCTGGCCCCTTGCACCGGAGCAGCTTGGCGAAGGCGGCACGAAAGCCGGCATTCTTCCACGCGTATATTAGGGGGTTAATGCCGGAGTTGGACATGGCAAGCGATGACGTCAGCCGGTACACTATAGGGTTGTGCAGCGGAATGATGGGCAGCGTCTGCGCGCACGCGACCACCACAAACGGCATCCAGCAGATCGAAAAGGAGCCCAGGACTAATAGCACGACCTGTAACACAAATAATGGTGGTTTAAAATAAAAGGAATAATTTTAAAGCTATTTAATGCATTTCATATGATCGCTCGTATAAAAGTGTGTACGACAATTTTATCTTCATGTAAGGAGAAGAAAGTAGAAAGAGCGGTCGCATTTGTAGAAGCTATCTGTATACCTGTATACTCTTCCAATCGTTGGCGCCGGCGGGGCAGCATGAGGTAGCGCGAAGGCGGCGCGCGTGACAGGTGGCCTCGCGCCAGATGCGCCAATACAGCACGAACATCACCATCCAGATGAGAGAGAACATCGGCGCCAGTATGCTCGTCGTGTATGATTTAGGCACCACCTGTCAATTACACAATTACACGTATTGTTATTTATGAAGGAAAAAATATATTATTGCTTTTATAAAAAAGTTATAAGTTTAACTTCGAATAGAGTCGTGTGGGCATTTTTACGCCATCGTTATTTTTTGTAAATACGCTCGATGACGTATACTTAATGATTCACTGATAACAGATTAGATACCGTTTGTTTCTAGCACGTGGTAGGATTAGAATTTGCGACATGTTTTTGTAGTGTTATCGTTTATTTATATAAAAGAAATAACAATCACACCATTCATATAAAACGCATCGATACGTATTTCTCTAGTTTTCTCATGCAATTATGCTCTTATGGTGACGCCGCACTGTGTTTTATCATTTTTATTTATCTGTTTATTAAAGCCAATATTTATGATCAGAAAGGAATGATCATTACAAGGTGGGCACTTACCAAGTTCATTTCGCAAGCGATGCCGTCGTGCCAGTCGTTCCAGAACATGGGTATGCAGGAGATGCAGAGCGCCACCGACCACGTGGCGCTCATCAGCAGCCGCGTCACCACCTTGGTCATGTAGCGGCTGTAGTGCAGCGGGTGCACGATCGCTATGTACCTGCAGTGTACACAGCACACGCATGTCTCACTTATATGATAACCTTATCAGCAATAAGTGAACAGGTTGATTACATTTGGCAATAAGTCAATTTGAATAAATAAAAATAAAAGCGTTACCTGTCGACGGCGATCGCTATGATGTTGTAAATGGAGGCGAGACACGCGAGTATGATGAGGATGAACCTCATGAGGCAGGACCACTTGACCTTGCCGAAGTCGTCGTCGATATAGAAGACGAGGTGGTAGGGCAGCGTGAGGCCCACCATGAGGTCGGAGACGGCTAGGTTGAGCACAAACTGGTTGGAAACGAGCGAGGAGAGGCGGCGGCTGAGCGTGACAGCGAGGATGGTCAGCGTGTTGCCGCTAACGATGAGCAGCATCAGCGTGCCGTCCATGATGCTCCACGCCCAGTAATTGTAGAGATCTTCGGCCGGCCGCGCCGCCGCGTCCGTCGGCACGCTGTCATTGCCCACCACAAAGTCCATCCCATCGCTGGCCGAGATCGCCAGCCTCCCCCACTCGGAATCGTTCGACGTCGTGCTCGAGTTACGCGCACATCGTCTCACAACCAACCACTGCACACGTTGTGTCCGCACAATAAACTATGGTCCTTTGCCGCACTCGCTTCGCGCACATTTTCCACCTCACCCCCGAGCGTCGCGCCGCCTGGAATGAGAGAAAATAATGTTACCATAAGTAAGTCGTAACATATCGCACGCCGTCGCGGCCTCACATCTATGTATGCAGACGGCAGTCGCACGTAAAGGTACGGCGAGGGCTTCAGCGAGCACGATCGCGTTCCCCGCAAATTGCTTTGCAGCGACCTCTCGCCAACTTCGTCGCACTTCACACGGCGTTACTCTAAATTACGTTTAGAACTTTTTAGGATTTACGGGAAAGCTAGGATCGCCTTCGCTCCGTTCCCTGATGAATTATTTATTTCAACCGGTGGCTCTTCGCCGATTCGCAAATTGTGAGTCGGGATCGTACGCGAATTGTTTCTAAAGTTTGAAATGTTTTCGCATCAATGTCTCATATAATATTAACGACAGCTTTATTACATTTCGTTTTCTATTATACAAATTGGATGAAACGTGTCGCAGGAAAACAACAATTTTATTAAATGAATTATTCACAGAGTATCTGTTAAGTAATGTTTACGTAGCACTTGCGTATATTAAGTATCGTATTTAGGGCCGCTTTGGTTTAGTTGGCGAATTACGTAACCGTGGCCTTGACACCGGCTGAGATCTTATCGATCACGGAATGCTGATGCGGCAGGAGGCCGGAAGTCGCCGCAGAACAAATGCCGACTCACTATTTTCATAATAACAATCGAACAATACATTTGGATGCTAAACTGACGATATGAGACATTCGTGTGTTTACCAAATGAAATTGTTATTTTGCTTGATCATGATGATGTAGACACAAACTAAAGTTATAATAACACGGTACTCTAATTCTATAAAACGAATTAAATTTTTAAGTTAAAAGCGCGTCATAGTAGGTTATGTACTAACTAGCCGTTTAACAACTGAAAAAAAACTTTATTAGTGTTCTAGACTTGGCTCTGATCTGTGCAGCAGTTCTGGAGATACCATCTAACAAACATCCATTCATCCATACATCTAAACATTGACATTTATATGAGTAAGATAACATAAATAAGAACGATATGACTGCCAGTGTCAGTTGCAGTGCGACTCGGGAAGTTGCTAAGCAATATAATCCTGACGTTCCTAGAATACCGATACTAATATTATCTTTGATACAGAAATAGACATTTTGTTGATATTGAAGTTTGTGAGACTTATTAGGATTAGTACATTCGAGAATGTTTAGAATTATGTTGATGTAAAATTTTAACAATATAATATTTAAAATATATTTAACTAACAAGCTGTAGCGAGCTGACTCTATCTACGAGGAATAAAAAAAACTTCATAATTAGCCTGTGCGTTTTTCCACACTATGTTCTACGTCTATGGCAAATTTCATCAAGACACGTTGAGCCGTTCCGGAGATACCTTGTAATACAAATCCATTCATCCATACATCCATAGATATAAACTTTCGCATTTATAATATTAGTAAGATATATAAAATATTGTGTGTTTACAAAAATCTTGTGGTTGGACGTCATTTGCATGCATTACACAGTAAAACGTGCGGAATAGAAATGCACTTTTGCGACATCGATATCTACTGAGTGTTACTTATTTTATGGCCTTTTGTGACTCAGTATAGATTTAGAATAGAAAACAGGTAAATATAGATA